GGGGAGGGGGGGGGGTCATTTCCATCATTTTCAGGTCGTTTTCTAAATAGAGGATGTCAGAAATTGTACACCATAAATATCCGTCTGTGTGAAAGTATCTCAGCCATAAAAGCTCAGTGTCCATTAAACCAGGGCGGGGCTTCGAGCAGACGGAGGATTTCCCATCAGCACAACTTTGTCTGAGTCTTTATCGGACGTGTCTTTATTGAGGATGACATAATGTTTAAAAAAAAAAAAAAAAAAAAGTGATGAGCTGTCTGATGTGACGTCTGTTCATGTGAGACCCTCAGAACGGATGCTCCGATACAAATATCGTCAGACGGATGATGGAGCTGCCTCTGAAGTTGATGACGTTGTTGACGGTGACCATCTCCAGGTCCAGCACCACCTCCTTCGGGCCCTTGATTGGCCGGGACAGGACCAAGGTGGCGCTCACGTTGCTGGTTTGCTGTAAGTCACACAAGAGGAGGAGCGTGAGCGACGAAGAACAGGGAAACGGTGAAACTGAGACAGCTGCTCGATGTGTTTCAACACACACAAGCACAAAGTCAGAGAAAGTTAATGTGTTTTCCACAGAGCAGGAGGTCAGAGGTCAGAGGTCAGATTACAGCCTGTTGAAACAAGGATAACACTCACTGTGAAATCTCAAAGAATCTTTACACCTCATACTGTGTCTGCACGCACGCACGCACGCACGCACGCACGCACGCACACACACACACACACACACACACACACACACACACACACACACACACACACAGCTCCATCTGCTGGCTGCACTGAAAGCTCAGGTGCTTCATGGTAATGTCGTCGTCACTATTCTTCATCATTAACGTCTGTTCGTGTTGTTTATGACTAAAGCGTGAAACTTTCTCCGTGTTTCTATAAAACCAGGAAGTTTATTTTCAGACGTGATGAAATAAGCGTCTTTATTGGAACAAAGACGCACGTGATTGTGAAGCAGAGGAATGGGGCAGAAACTGGAAAAATGCAATGCTGAGGTCACTGACCTCTCAAGGTCACCGGAGGTCAGATGCAAACTGCCTCCAGGCCTGAAATAAAACCTCGGGGCGTGTAGATTATCTGCTGAAACCTTCGCGCTTTAGTCGTAAAATACAAAACAAACAATACAAAAATGTGATTTCGGATCAAATCATCTTTGCTCTTGTGTGTGAGCTTCATAAGCTCACAGTCGAGATCAGACAGAGGTTCAGTATTTATGGATAGTGATTCCTCTGGGGATCAAACATGTGACTGTAAACACATAAACCTGTCGCAGGTTGTGTGTGTGGATTAACTTTACAGCCCACAGGAAGAGATACAGTTGTTGATGAATGAATAAACACTTATATCATCTTACAACTACATTATAGTGCGTTATAAACCATTCATTAAATGTTAGTTTAATGCTTATAAAGGGTAAATAGAGGGAGGTAAAGTCGGGTGTTTCCTACAACAGCTCATTTCCTTCCTGTGAGCTGATCGGGTCAGTGGAGCGTCTGACGCGTCTCAGCAGAACTCACCCTCATGTAAAACTCCCGCCCGTCGTTGCCCGACTTTATCTGGAAGATGTAGAAGGCGCCTGGGTAGCGCGTGGTGGCCTGCATCTGGAAGATGTCTGCAGGCACACTGCGCCCCGACGACAAGTCCATGTGTCGGTACAGAATGGTGAAGGGCTTGTCCCTGCAGGCAGGGTTCTCAGCTGAACACATGCACTGACTGCAGGAGGAGACACAGGGAGCGTCAACGCATTCAGTATTACTGTGTGTGTGTGTGTGTGTGTGTGTGTGTGTGTGTGTGTGTGTGTGTGTGTGTACGATGAATTTTTATATATGACATATTTGTTAACGATATAATTACAACATGCTTTATAACTTTTTATAGAAATTTATAAAAAATATATTAGTTTAATTATATTATAAGTTAATGACACAAACGCTCATAGTAAAATTTCTATATATATATGATACAAATATCTGTGATGTGATAAATGTGTTCTATGTAAAAATTATGAGTTAACATGAGTTTGACATGTTAAAAAATATATATGTATATATATATATATATATGTTTATATGTTTTTCTTATTAATTTCTCAATCATTTGAAACATTCTGGGAAAGTGTCTCAGTCTTAAAGAAGTTCCACTTTCTAATAGGTTTCATAAATCATTTTTACATATATGCTTGTATAAAGTAATAATGTATATTTCATATATGGAAACACAATATATATATATATTAGATTTTGTATTGACGGGAAGAACTCACTTGTCACTGACTTCGATGTAAGGAGAGTGACACTGTAAAGGATCCAGGCATGTGTAGCCTCCCTGGAAATTGAAACATACTTGTGCTGTTGTACAGGTGTTGTTACCAGTGTCACATTCATTGATATCTTCAAAATCAAACACACAACAGCCAGAGTCAGTTAAAACAGCATCATCATCATCATCATCATCATCATCATCATCATCATCATCATCATCAGAGAAACAACATGTCATGTATACAACATCAGTACAGTTAGTGAGAACGACTGTGACTGGAAATAGAAAATACAAAAGAAAAACAGAGAGAACTTTATATCACTGAATGAGTCAACGCTTGTTTTAATCATTAGCTGATATAAAACCTGATCAGTAAAGACGTCAAACACACGTGCAGATCATTTAAATACAGGCTTCACTTTAACCCTCCTGTTGTTTGACCCGTTTTCAAATGTTTTTACATCAGAAATCTGTTTTTTCTTTACCGTTAATTGCCTGAAAATAACATGGATGATTCCTCACTACACTTTTTGCAAATGGAATTAATGATTTTCATTGAATTTTGGGTGTTTTATTCAAGTTTAAAGCACGTGTTCCTCTGATCGAAACTATAGTCAAAGTTATTCAGAATTTAGTTTTATTAAAGTTGAAAATATTTACGTTTATTGACCATGAAACTCCAAAAAAAAATTTGAAAAAGTCGCGGTAATGAGTTTGTTGAAAAGCGAGTTGACTGAAAAGGTGTGATGTAATTATTGGGTAATAATTTTCTACTTCATGTTTTATAAACAGTCAAACAGATCGGGTCAGTTCTGATCCTGGAGGGTAAAAGTTGCACGGCCGATGACGAGACGATACGAGGGTTAAATATCTTCAGCGCTGCAGGTGCAGATTTAACCAAATAAAGACCTCAAACAAAACACATTGCAGGTGACGGATGGAAAATATATGTTTCCATTCATATGTGTCAGTTACTGGACAGCAGTGACTTTACCTTCACAGCTCCGGCCGTCCTCGTACACATAATATCCAGGTGGACAGATGCAAGAGAAAGAGCCAGGTGTGTTAGCACATCTGTGCTGACACAGAAACTCAGAGAAGCTGCATTCATCCAAGTCTACAGGGAGTAAAAACATCTGGATCAATGCTCGTCAGAGACAGACCGAGAGGAGAACCACCCAGCGGTCGGCAGACACACACACAGTGTTCATGAAATAATGTGTTGTATTGTCAAAGAAAACCATGTGGATCTAGAAAGGTGTCTAGATATGAAATGTATATTTTCACTTCCTTAGAAGGACAACATGCAGCATGGCGTAAACTTCAATAATAGTTACATGTGTAGGGAAACTGAATCGGTTTTATTCCACTGTTGGATGTTTGGAAGCTGCTCTGAGGACAGACTGTATGAAAGTCATAAAAATACAGATTTTCATGTAGAAATGTGTTTTTTTTAAATCCTAAGATCACGATCAGCTGTGCTGCTCACCGATGCAGGTGGTGCCGTCCGACGCCAGCTCGAATCCCTCGTCACAGTTACACATGAAGGAGCCGTAGGTGTTGAAGCAGCCGTGACTGCACGGCTCATCCTCACACTCATCCACATCTGAGGCAGAAACAGTCGTCAACAGTGGCTCTGTGTGTGTGTGTGTGTGTGTGTGTGTGTGTGTGTGTGTGTGTGTGTGTGTGTGTGTGTGTGTGTGTGTGTGTGTGTGTATACCTTGACAGGTCCTGCCTTCTGGGTTGAGGATGAAGCCGGGGTTACAGGAGCAGGAGTACGAACCGGGGACGTTGGCGCACAGCTGTTGGCAGTAACCATAGCGACATTCGTCAATGTCTGGTCAAAAAAGAAAAAAGACAGATTGATTATGAACCAAAACATTTATATATAGTTACTGTTATATTATCATCTGCACAGCTGATGGATCTGGAAGAGCTGTGCTGAGCTGCTTCACTGCTCCAAACCTGAAGAGGGCGCTGTTGTTCTAGAGCAGAGCTGCAGCTGCCAGAGGTCACGGGGTCAACAGTATTGACTTTACTCCATTATCCAACAGCGCTTCCAAGAAATAAGTCATTCATTCATGGAAGTACTTGATATCCCATATTTAGCCACAGACTCATATCTTTACAGTAATTAAACCAAAGTGGAATAGACCACTTTATTTGGGCCATTAACCGCAAATCATGTGTCATTCACTTCAGTGCCAGAAACTTTTTCTGAAGCTTCGAGGCTGCAGTTACTTTCAGTACAGTTTAAAAGAAAATCCATCTGCAGAAAGTAGAGAGCAGAAACCTGCCTGACAGAGATAAACCATCTCAATGAAGAAATCGCTCCATAAACTTTCAGTTACTGTCACCAGGTCATGACTCTGCCAGCAGGGGGCGATACCACGTCTCCTTCTTGAAGCTGATTTTAAAACCTTATAGACTTAAGACTAAATTCACATCATCATTTCACACCTCCATGTTTTTTCACTGAGTACAATGTATTCTTGCAGCAAGTTTTCAAATGTCAGAGCGTCCCTAAATGCCCCACAGTTTGAGTGATGTTTCCATATATGTCACATATAAGAGGATTTATTATTATCATATACAGACATCCTCTGGATATATGAAGATATAAACATATACACATATATATGAAATATGCAAATTAAAATCTATATTATGAGAAAACATGTTATATAGGGTTAGGGTTATATATATTTAATTTACATATTCTATGTTTACAAATATATAACATTTCTATATGTTATATATGTTTTTCTTATTAATTTCAAACATGTCTATCTTCCATTTCTGGGAAAGTGTCTCACACTTTTGTTCTATAATATCAACATATATTGACAGGCTTTGGGATGGACATATATATAATATATCTCTACAATATAAACATACATATTTGTATGGGCTAGACATATGTGTCAATATATGAAAATGTTCCTATTTCTTTTAGGTTTCATATATAATTTTTACACGTGTTTATTTTACATATATTTCGCACATGGAAATTCATGTACACACATTACATGTGCGTATGGGCTGTTTCTGAACTAACTGATATAATAACAAGCTCAAACTGATCTTCAGCCTTTTGATGAACTGACTGAAGTCAGCAGGTTAAACTCCTTCACAGATCATTTTTACCGCTGGAAAATGAAGAGCCTCAGTCACTCACCCTGACACTGTCCTCCAATGAGCCAGTATCCCTCAGTGCAGGAGCAGGTGTAGCCACCTAATGTGTTGATGCAGACCTGGGTGGGGTTACAGTGATGGGAGTTTGTCTCACATTCGTCAATGTCTGCAACAGAGAAGAGGAGATTAACTCAGCAGGAAGGTCAGAGGTCAAAGTGTAGGACAGAGCTAACTGGCTCTAAACCTGAGTCACTCTCTAACTTGATGATATTCTGATTAAATCTTAATTCATTCATGTTGCTAATATCAACATAAATCAAGAAAATCACAACTAGAAGCTGAACTAAAAAGTTAAAAACTGGGAGCGTCATCACTGTAAAAGGCGGGATCCAAAGGACTGAGAGCACTTTTCCATTCGCTTGAATGTGTTTCAGTGTCATTATATTAGATCACACACATGGTTTTTCTGTTTAAGTTCCACAGTCCTTTAAAGCGACGTGAACGTGACACCCGGAGCTGCTCTGCTCCTCTAACGACTCTCAGGGACATGACACACAAATATTTCCTCCGGTGGAAAGAAATCGAGAAACGTCGCACAATCAGCAATTATTTCTCAGTTCTTCTTTAGTTCTGCATCGACTTCATGTTGTTTTCACCACAAATCACTTCTCAGCTTATTGTTATCCAGCACATATAAAACTTTATGGCCGTGCATGTGCTTGATTCCTCTGTTACCAGTCTACAGACTGACATGCGCTGCAGCAGCTGAGGGTGAGAGGCCTTTGCTCTAACGCACATCCACCAGACTTGAATTTCTTCCTGTTGGCTTGAGCAGTGCACCGACAGATGTTTGTTTCTCCAGCTCTCAGGTTTTCACCACCCTGTAGCACAACACTGCACATATCAATACACTATCAGCTTACAATTGTTTTCGCTCAGGATTAGAGATTTCTCCGATTACAAACTGAATTCCTCCGACGCCCCTGGAGCGGCTCACACACTTCATCATAATAGCCACATTTCCTTATGAGGATATGACATATCAAAAATTCCAGCCCGTGTTTATGGTTCTCAGACCATGAAGTCACCGATCTCCAGACAAACCGGTGGGGGGGAAGTGGGTGGGAGCTCTTTGTTTGAACAGGCAACTATGATAAGCGATAACGTCTGTCAGTGGGACCGTTGCCCTTTGTGCCAACTTGGACCATTTATCCTGCAGGGGTGGTGGGGGGGGGGGGGGGCAGGAGGCCCAGGGCGTTCGGCCCCCGGCCAACAGCTACATGGCCCCCGGCACCTGCTTGTCGTTACCAGTCAAAACCTCTGTGAGTGGCCCTCAGCTGCACCCCATGTGCAGCCTTCCTGCAGGTCTCCAACATACACACACAAAGTGCAGCAGTGTTTCAGTTCAGCTCCTTATATAGAGCGTTTCATGAGCTGCTCACAAGCTTCGGGGTCGCGCCGACAATCCCGATCCAGCCTCAGAGAAGACATGACGGATGGGATTGGTTTGAAATACCTGAGCGCCAAATTTATACAGACTGATTCAGCCTGATCCAGAGGCTTCAAATCAGACACGGCCGGCTCCTGTTGGTAACGAAGACCGACACCAGTCGAGTTCATGGTCTCCTCTCAAACGACAAGGAAAAGACAGACAGTTGCCTGTCGTGCATTTCTCAGTTTATCCGATGGGTTTTATTTCATTTCATAAACCCACGAGGTTGGAAATGTTCCTCAAGCCACAGATGAGCGTGTAATCCTCCAGCCCGAGTAAAGACATGAAAATACCCCAAACTCAAGTTATGAGCGGAAATGAATCTTACAGTCCCGTGGGAAATGAAAAACACAAGTGGAGATAGTGTCTGGTGTGTGTGTGTGTGTGTGTGTGTGTGTGTGGCTCTACCTCCTGCTGAAAGGCTCAGATCACCTACAACAGAGACATGTTCTCTCATCTGTTGCTATTAGTGCAAGTCAAGAGTCCACAGTCAAACATGTGGCTCTGCGAGGCTAGCATTTAGCATGCTAACATGCTATCAATGACAATAATGCCATGCTAATGTTTAGCAGGTGTAATATTTAACATTCACCATTTTTATTTAGCATGTTAGCATGCTAACATTTGCTAATTAGCATTCAGGTCTAAAGCTATTTGCGCCATTTTTAAATATTTTCTTAAACTGCATAAGATAAGATAAGATAAGATAAGATAACATAAGATAACATAAGATAATACCCAAGTATTTAATACCACAGTTTCAGAACAATCTCTTTCTAGAGGCGCTGTGTAAAAAGATCATTTGTCTCAAATGCTGAAAAACTTGACACCCAGTTTTTGAAATTCTTAAAATCTGTTTTTTAGACTTGAATTGTTTTGGTGCTTGAAATGAGTTTATCAAAGTCTTAGGTTCCTGAAAAACAGAACAATGTACCAGTAAAATAGGAGATAAATGTAGAATAAATGTCTAAAATGAACCAAATGTTAGAGACCGGCTTATTGGCCTTGTAGCTCCGGCTGAGAGTCACATCTGATCTTGTAACAATATGAACCGGAGATTAGAGAATCTGCAAAGAATACATGCAGCACATTTCAAGGCAATTCATCCAATAGTTTTTGAGATATTTCAGTCTGGAGGAAAGTGGTAAAAATCCTCGACAGCAACATTTCTCTCCAGAAACAGTGTCATTTCTCTGCTCCAACAACTCTGGCATGAACTCTAACACTGACTGCAGCCACATCTTATCACCAACATCAGTGGCCAACCTCAGTAATTCTCTTGTGGCTGAATGGGAGAAAATCCCTGCAGTCAGGCTCAGAAATGTCTTGTGAAAAGTCTTCCCACAAGAGTGGAGGTTACAGTTTGTCTGCACGAAGCACGAAACCGCGAAAGGGAGAGAGAAAGATGCCTTTCTGTAATTTGGATGGATTACAGAAATTACAGAAAGAAGCGGGTAATACTGTGATTCTAAAATGCAACTGCTGTGCAATCCGGCCTCGTAAAAACTAAGCCACAGATGCATAAACACAAACCTCCCGGGCTAATTTCTGCTATTGTTCTGTCAGACCGGTGCCAGTAGTGACACTGATGGAGCACAGCGCCATTAGCTGAGAAACAAAGCCATGTTTGTTACAGGTTCAGACGGGAAGTCACAGTCTGTGTAGTTTCTGCCCCATAGCTGCATCAATCAACAGCCCATTACATCACCACACACACACACACACACACACACACACACACACACACACACACACACACACACACACACCAGCAACCTTCAGGGGTGTATGGACTCATTACGATTGGCCCCCACAGAGACATGCCTGTTCTCCAGGACCGGCTCGGGCACAGATCTGGCAACAAATGACCTCATGTTTGGCGTTGTGATGGTGTAGTTTACCCAAACAAGGTTGTGAGCGATTCCCTGACAGCCCCCCCCCCCCCCCTAAAAAGAGAAACAGTCCGTATTTGTGCATGAGCTAAACTCTAAAGCTCTTCACAGGGAGAAAAACTGTAGTGTGTGTGTGTGTGTGTGTGTGTGTGTGTGTGTGTAAATTTTCCACTCATGATTTATCCACAGTGACACTCCAAATGGACTTTAAAGACGCCATTTTCAACAGCTTGTCTCTGCTGGACACACTGGGGCAATTATGTTAAGATGTATTTAAGACAGCTGGGATTGGGGGGGGGGCATTTAGTGTTTATCTGACAGCTGGGATTTCTTGCAGCTGTGAAATGCAACAGAATCAATCAGAGAGCAAACATGTCCTCAGTGTGAGGAGTCGAGGACCCCCGTGCTGCGGGAGGGCGACGGCAGACAGGCCGCTGCACCAGAGCACATCTGATTCCCACAATCTTTAATCACTGCCCCCCCCCCACCCCCCAGTCGTGGCACCTCGTCCAACTAGTTTGACTGTAACATCTGAGAAACAGCGGGAGGAGGCAGATGTTGAAAACAGCTGCAGCAGAAGACGGAGAGTGAGGTTTGTTTTTCAGCAGCGTGACCGCGTTGACGGCAGCGCTGCTCCGTGAGTCCAGACAGAAATACCAGCACTTATTAAAAGCATTACAATGAAACTTTGCGCCGACGATCACGGTCCCCAGAGGATGAACCCTCCCGACTTCTCCTCCGGCGCCACCATCAGCTTGTTTTTCTTTGTTTTTGAGTGAATAATCTTCATTAACTCTCAGATCTCTGAGTTTTACAGACATTCATGTCTCGTGTTCCCCTCAGGAGGAGTCGTAATAACTTGGATCCCTCCGTTCATCAGCTCAAGAGTCCAGTGCTTTTGTTTAGTGACAAAATAAACTCATAACTAATAAGATAATAACATCCCCATCTGGATTAAGATGTTGAGCAGTAAACATTACATCTTCTAAACATCCGCATGTTAGCGTTTTCCTCAGACACTATTATGTCTCTGTCCAGCCTCGCAGAGCTGCAGACTCTTAATCTGATCTTCCTCGCACATTTTCTCATGAACTATTGGATATATTTTTTTTTTCCTACATCCTCGGGCCCCTGAAAGTCAAAATAAAACAACGTGAGACAGAAGAAAAGTGGCAGCATGTGCAGCCTGGAGTAGACACAGCTTCGTCCCGCTCTGCAGCCGCTGTGTTTGCAGATTTATCAAACTGACCTGAGGCCCGTTGGCTGCGTCCACCGGCTGTGATGAATGGGAGCACTCGCTGACCCAGTGTCAACAACCAAGAGAGGACAACAGGAAACAATGAGACCAACAGGCTTAAAGTTTGCAGCAACAACAACAGGATGTGATGAGTGTTTGTGCACTCGTCTTATTCGACCACATGCAGCGACATGAAGCAGCAGACCTGGACTGTAACGAACATCTGAGCGCGTCACATGTCAGAGCTCTGAACTGACGCACAGCGCTGAGGCACTTGTACTTAAACGTTTCCATTTTATGCCACTTTATATTTCTGTGTCACAACATTTCAGAGGGAAGAAAAAACCTTTTATCCAGCAGCTGGAGTTATTGGTCACTTTACATCAGCCTGTGAAACATAAAGCATTGTTTAAAAAAAAATGAATCCAGCTGTTGCTGTTCCAAACTTCTCTGGCTTGAAATCTCTTACAAGTGTCTAGCTGGGGCTCCGTGTCAGGATGCAGATGCCCGTGGGTCAGGAGGAGACTATTCTTCTCTAAACTTTTTCACATGGTTTCGTTTCAGTGTCTTTTTGGCCCAAAGAAGCAAAAAAAAAAAAAAAGAAAAAAGAAAGAAAAGACCTTAAGAAGAAAAAAGAATCATTTCTCCATCAGAACTTCATTGTTTTTCCTCATTTCCTACCTCATTAATCACGTTAGAACTCCCCTAATTAACCAGGTGACACTTTGGAAGCGACTCAAACCCGCTCAACAGTAAAACGCTGCAGACACACTGATGCATCAGTACCAACAACCCGACACAACCCTGTGTATCAGCTGATCAAGTGCTTTTACTGTTGAATCTTTCAGTGCAGCTGCTCATGATGCTGGTGAACTTTTACTTCAGCAGGATTCTGATTCACCACTGAAAACAGAAGGGTATGTCTGCAGACTCTCACTCACCGTTACAGGTGCCGTCCTCTGCAGCAGTATATCCCAGGAGACACTGCGCGGTGCTCCTCACTCTGGGGTAGCTGGGCTCCACAGATCGGGGGCCAGCGGGGAGGAAGGTGTCTGAAAATCCCACCGATGTGTCCGGGTAGGCTGGCTCGGGCAGCCCCGGGGTCTCCGGTCTGTAGGGCTGGTTGTACAGGGTCCTCGGGATGCACAGGTAGCCTCCGTTCTGGTTCACACAGCGCATGTCTCCGCGGCAAGCATCTGGCAGGGTACGGCACTCATCCACATCTGGAACACAGAGCGGTGCGCCGATAAGGACATTCCTGCATCCAGAACATCTGTGTGCGCGTGATTCATTTACTTCACACTCTGTCGGCTTGGAAACTTGATCAAAGAGTTTCCCTGACAACGAGCTCAGAACTGAACTTTTCACGTTAAAAGACGGTAGAAGTCACTCACCTATACACTGTCGAGCCCTGCGGTCATATGCGAAACCTTCTGTGCAGGTCTGTGGAGACACGATCGAGATGAGTGACCATGTTCAGTCCGTGTTATCTGGAGCTATAAACTGTTCATGCAGCAGGATTATCTACAAGTTTGATCCTAACACGTTCTTCCTCTTTACATTTGGACTTTCTGGCTGTTTAATCACAGCTTCATCAGAACCAGATGGCACAGCAGCAACGTTTGCAGCCCGTAACCATGACCTTTGTCTATATGAATGAAATCCCTGGGAGCGTGAGCTCAAGTGAGGGGAAGGTGCCGTGTTACCTGTCCGTGTCCGGGCTGGATACAAAGCAGAATAAATACCAGAGCTGCCAACATCCTGCAAAGAGGGAATTTCAACTTTTTAAACTGTGAAAATCCAGGAACTCTGGTGCGTATTCATTCAAACACATAACTGAGAAGAAAAAAAAAACAGCTCAGTGAGTCGTTCCGCAGAGGTAAGAGAGGATTAAGAGGAAAAGAGAAGATTACTGACCTTGCAGAAGAGGAAAACCTGAAGCCACGTATTTCAAAAAGCATGGTTTATAGTTTCTATTGAGCTCCCTCTCAAAGGAAAGATTTAGACGACCCGTAAATTCTCCCCAAATCCCCTCGCCTCTCCCCAGCAGGGCTCTCACCACCCCCCAACTATGCGCCTTTACGCGAAAGCCGACAGCAGGTTTTCATTAAGCGCGGTCTGCTCGAGCTGAAGCTTCGGTGCATTGACCAAGTGTTGCAGGAATGCCTTTTCAAAATGGACTGTGCCGTCTCTGCCCCACTCTGTCGGCTCTACAGATTATTTAGCAATGCAAATTGACGGGCCCCCTCCGAGCACTTCCACAACAGCTGGATTCAATCAGGGAGAGCCAGCCCCCTCCGGTCAGAGCGCGCAGAGACAGCGGCCCCACAGCGGCGCACTCACTCCAACAGGCGGCGGCTGCTGCTGCTGCTGCTGTTGGGGGGCAAAAAGGCATAAAGCATACACAGTGACAGTGTCTGTTTTCCAAAGATATAAACAACCCCCCCCCCCACACACACACACACACACAACTCCTTCCCATACAGCTGAATAACTCTGAACATCTGGCGCGGCCAACGCAGGCTATCCACGCAGTAGTAGCCACATCTGGTTTGCATGAATGCGCTTTGGAGAAAGAAATGACAAAATGAAGAGCAGCGGGGGGGTCAGCAGTACCTTTATTTGATTTGAAATTCCAATTAAGTCACGGGGACTAACCGCGGCCAAAGATCATCCAAGTTCAAGGTAATCCAACTCCTGTTCGACACCTCCGCCTCCAGATGTGACATCTACAAAAAAAACTCTTCTTTTACAGTGAGGATTTACAGTCTATACATGTTGTCAGTACACCTGGAGAAACCCTGTAACATTCCTTCTGCGGCGGCTGATTGATGTCTATACAAAAATGCAGAGCGGCTCCACCTCCGCTGCGCCAGCTCTGCTCAGGTAAAACGTTTTAAATGTGCAGTTTTTACATTTTGTAAATATATATATTTATATTAACCATTTACAATCCTGATTATACAATCATCTAATTAGCAAAAAAATGCAGGCACTTTACTTCCAGAACTTCCTCAGTGCCTATAAATAGGAAAAAAAAAAAACGCCACCCATTTACATATATATATTTATATATATATCTATATAATAGTACTGTACTTAAACACAGGAGCAGTCCAGCCTCTGATCAACCACAGTCAGCAGTTACAGCCATAATTACAACGCTTGTTGCATATCACAGTCTGTCTGTCTGGAGAAGACAAGATTTAGCAAAAAAATGTCCTTATGGTTTGAACAGATGTACTGAACCACATAAATCTCCACACAGCTGCTGCCAGAGAGGTTGTTTTTTAGGAAAGTCCTGGATCAGAAACAGTTCACTGCATTGTTGAAAAGAATTTAAAAAAAAAAAAACAAACTCATAAGACAAGAAAATAAAAAGAAAGGATGAAAAGTGAAGGACACGAGGTGTTTCCTCTCGCAAACAGAGGCGGCGATCAGACTTCACTCACACGTACTGAACTGCACACAGCGAGTTTTACAAGGTCACTTGTGTTCAGAACCTGGTGCGATGAATAAAGAGGAGAAGTCGCTCACAATGTGAAAGACAGTTTCTATGACGATCTACTTCTCTACTCGCTCTGACCGAGCCACATCTTGAAAACGTTCTCAGTCCGTCTCCTTTTTGCACCTGGAATCATTTCATTGATCATTTCCAACTGGCGGTTTAACACCTAACAGTAATGCTGAATATGAAACACTTCTACTGATGCGTAAAGGGAGACTCTGTTGCATAGAACAGTAATTGCAAGTACGGCTGAATCTTAAAAAAAAAAACCTAAAGTTTCAATCCCAAAAGAGGGAATATTAAGCCTCTATAATTTATCTGACCATTTATTTTGGCAGGAAATTAAAAAAGAGCAGCAATTAAGTCTCAGACCTGCTCAAATATCTCAGTCTGTGTAGTGTAAAACTCATGTTGGATGAATTAAGACGTCTAACTGGCACGCCGCCGCTCACTGCTTTAACAAGTCTTTGAGCACGGCTCCAGCGCTGGCCTCGGCTGAGACTGGCACAGGTGTGAAGGAGGGCAGGGCGTCAGAGATGGGCTTCATCAGCAGGTGACCTCCCGAGCCGCCGGAGCTGGAACCGGCGAGCAGAGGCACCGCCGCCGAGCGAGGGGCCAGGAAAGGATTGGACTCGCCGGCTCTCTTGCTGGCTGCTGCGGCTCCTGAGAGGAGAGAGGCTGAGATTTAAATACGGTTTGATGTGTTTGAGGATGGAGGAGAACAACAGCTCCCGTCTGACACGACCCGTTAAGCGTGAGAGAGAGAGAGAGAGAAACATCCTGGCGGCGGTTTTTCCCAAAGGGATCGTTTACCTGCGGTGGTGCTGGAAGCGGCGCTGCTGGTTCTTCTCGGAGGCGGGGCGCTCAGAGGCTTAATGTCGTGGACTGGAAGCCTCGGTGCGGGAAGGGAGGGGGTCGACTCCATCTCCAGGAACTTCACAAACATCTCTGAGAAGGACTGCAACAACAACAGAGGAAGAACAGTGTGTTGAGATCCTTCCTGCCTTAAACCTCACAGTAACATCCTGGTGAGTAATCGGAGTCTAACCAGATACTTGAGACCATAAACGTGTATCCCTGCACATCTGGATCCACACTGGCAAACACAGAGGTTGGATGGATTCAAATTCTCTGCGTGCCAAGTAGTGTTTATGTTGTTGTCCTTTGAAATGTGTAAATTCCTATTTATTATTTCACACATACACAATTTTCACTTAATGTAAATATTTAATCATTTATGTGCAAATTTATGTTTTTTATTTCTTTATTTTACTTTTATTTGACTTGGATAATGTTCAAATCCCAAAGACAATCCTTATCGCATCATATCATATGTTTTTATAAATGTGAATGTATATTGATATAATTTAATAATCCTTTTCCCATTATGAAAAAGCAACAATCCACTGTGTGATTTTCTTTGGCTCAATAAAATATATTTGAAAATAAATGTGTAACTTTCTGTAAGATCGTACTGGGATGAGGAGGAGACTTTTATTTTGAAGGATACACATTAACACATAAACACTACCGTATTTCTTACATTACCTAAAGTGTAGTTAATGTATTTTTATAGACATTAATACGTCGCACTGAACAATTCATAGGTGCTTCCTGTAAAATGAAATGTTGTGTGAAGCGCTTGTTTTATTTTCACACTGTTCCCACTGGCTTCACCTGCTCTATAAACAAGTGCTCTCATGTAACATGCAGCTGTTAGCGCGCAGATTATTGTGTGTGAAGCACAGAGACCCTGTTAATACTGAGTTCCTCTGCAGAGTTCGACCCGCTGCGTGTTCTGCAGCTCGGATTATAAACTGTGTGTGTTTGCGGTGCCAGAACTTCATGTGGCAGATCATCGTTACCGAGTTGAGCCCTTGGCCGCTGGTCGGCCTCTGCGGAGTGTTTGGGACACTTTGCGCTCCTCGGCCTCCCAGCCAGGTCGACATCCACCCGGTAACACCGTGCCGCCCGTCGTCCTCCAACATCTATATACACACACACAGGCACAGACACACACACACACACACGCACACACACACAGATGAGGAAGGTTATTGAATTCTCAGAGGGATTAAAGTCTCCAGAAGTCATCTGTCCTCATCTGACCAAAAAAAACCCCCAAAAACTAGATGCTTCTGTCTCCTGCTGTTCATTCAGACTCTTGTTGAAAAGTAGATTTTCTTCTGTTTTCAAAATAATGGTCGGATTGTTTCAGTTTTAATTGCTCTGGGTTTCCTCTCTGCTTGCCACCGCTTTCTGGAAAATGATTTTGTGGACCCACTCACTAGTTAAACTCATGTACAGGCGCTGCGATTCACTGCTGACGGCACACACTCCGAGAAGAAACTTGTGGCTTTATCATTCACTGCCATTCATACTCCCTAATCACCAGCGTCATTCGCTTGGCAGCACTCAGCCAGACGGACCCCGTATACACAGAGTATGGATCGCAGCTTTGGGCTGAAACAGGCTCTGGAGGGAGGATACGAGCTGCTGCACGGAGGCCGATTCTGAGGAGACGGGCTGCTTTTGTAGGACACTTGGCTGCTGTGAACACGAGTTGAGTGGAAAATTTAAATAGCATTAACAGGAGATGAGGGCAAGATGAAAAAAAAAGAAGAAAAAAAGAAAAGAAAAGAAAGAAAAAGTGGAACGACCTCCAACACAATAAAAATGGGTCTCATGATGAGCTGTAATCGCATTTGCCCCCTCACCCTGTATCTGTTTTCCTTTAAGAGTGTTGGGTAATTTACTTTGCAATCGCTGGATGGAGTCCCACAGGGCTCCTGCCAGAAGATCTGCTGAAGGAAATGCTTTCTTTTTCAGGGCAGGCAGGACTGATTCTTCAGGGGCTGCTGGAGTTGAAAGTGACTGTTGGAATCATACAATCAGAAAGCTGTACTTGCCGTATTGGTGGGTGTTGGAATTCCTCTGTACAACAAGTATTTTAACGGTCACCGTGTCAGAAACGAAGCTGCTGGTGCAGGTTACGCTTCTCGTTCAGACTGTGCCGCAGCAGTGTTGATTTAACTCTGACATATTTCTGGAACCTTACTTTTATATTTTAGCAAGAGAGCCGTAAACCTGAGACTTGGACTCAAGTCAGACTTACTGTTAGTAACAAATCTGACAGTATTTTCCATGAGAACTTGATTTGGTCTTACGAACAGTCCAGGACTCAGTCGCCTGTAAAAACCACGACTTGTCATGTTTTCACAGGGATATAATGTGAGAAATAGCGAGCTGCAGACGTGCTGGGATTTTTAACTTTAGACAGCCTTCATGCTAAGCTATGCTAAGCTAAGCTAACGGACGCAAGCTTCATATGTACCGGACAAACACGAGAGTGGCATCGATCTTCTCAGCAAACTTGCTTGACACTTGACTCACTGAAGAGTTGATGTGAGAGGAGACACTTCAGATTCTTCATCTCTTTTTCTGTTATTAAACTTTTTACTTTTAAACAGATGTTAATACATGACGCTCTCAACATTTTCATTCTGTCACACGCCTCTGTCGCCTACGACCACAGAGCCCCAAACAGGCCGTCAGACGGGAAACTGGTTCGGCCTCAAAACTCCTGCAACATCGAACCGTTTCACATTTCAGCCGATGTTCCTGCAGTTCAGGCACTTAGTTGCCTCATATCACACTTTGGTAAATATGTAAACATGTTTATCAATAAATTAG